ACCTGAAGCAGCAACCGTACCGACGAATGTACAAAAGAGAAAGTTGACTGCTACTTTAACTGACTCTGAGATAAGTCTAAACAAAGATTGGGACCCAACTTAGCAGAATCAACTTTCAGACGAGATGTCATTATCCCATCAAAAAAACGAGTAACTGCCGGCCTCCCATCGGTCAGCACTCTCCCACACTTGACGCTTTAGTCCTCTGTGGGCTCCTAAAGACGGAGAAACTTGCCTGCTTGTATTCGAATGCTCAGGGTCTTTTTAATAAACTGGCCGAACTGCAAGATCGCCAAGCTTCCGGGTCATTTGATTTCACAGGTATCACCAAGACGTGGTTGCACACGGGAATGACGGACGCTGAATTTTCACTACAGGGCATGTCGCAGATCCGGAATAAAGATACACAAAAGATGGGCCAATGCTGTATTACCGAACCGACTTACAGTGCGAAGCATGGCGAATTCACACTTACAGTTCCCCGACTCTCTTTGGTGACGCTTGCAGTTAAAAGGCAAAGACGCTTGCCTTATTGGCTTAGTGTACCACCGCCCTAACTCTGCACCCGAAACCGCCTGCCACCTACCAGCTGCTTTAAGATGCAGTTTACAACAAAAGCACACTCACATACTTATCGTGAGTGATTTCAATGTATAGTGTGTGGAAAATCCTGCCACAATGGGAGAACAATTCAAAGCCGATCTACAAGACCTCGTAACCAGTGTTTCTATTTACAATCAGATCACTTTTTCCACTCGGTTCAGAACAGGGAACAAGCCAACCATGCTGAATCTTGTGCTTACTAACAAATGCATATGATTGATGTGTTTGTTTAAGAATGCTCATTGGGTCGCAGTGATCAGTTTCAACTTCGTCTGCCATGCGGAACATCGGAATGCAAACCATCACAAGCTGCGATCGATTAGCCTGCTTCGTCAGCGCTACAACTTGGTTGTTCCTTGCTGAGGTACCCGCTGAAGTCGTCTGGATCGAGTTCGTCAACAAATTCAGTCAGCTGGTTGCAGAGGCTTCAGAAATATGTTTGTACTAAATGTACAAGTTTTTCATTCGTTAGAAGCAGAACTCGAAAATCGATGCCGGTACGCAACGCAGCATAGCAAGTGTATAGGGAAGCGGCAGCACCAGAAACTTGGGACGACTATGTAGCCCAACGTAACAACTGCACTCAACTGCTAAGAGAATACAAAGCCACATATCAGCAGAACATCGCAAAAACCTTCAGTGCTGACCACAAGCTGCTGTACAAGGAAGTCAATAGCCTACGAAAGGTGAGGCAAGGATGTCATCCACTCAGCACGACTGATGGCCCAACAAGGACGACTGTGGAAGCTGAAAACGCACTGCGGATGCAATTTGGCCCCAACTTTCAGAGGGTGTTGCCACTAAGCAATCTTCTAACCTTTGTCGGCATCTCGCCAGGACTAACACACATCACTTTTACCGCAGAGGCTGTAATGCAAAAGCTGACGTTTCTAGGCAAATACAGCTCGCTTGGTGTCGACACCATTCGTCCAGAGGCACTGGAAGCAGCAGCATGCAAACTGACAGGACATTTAGCGCAGTATTTCCAGCGCTGCTTAGACCAGAACCAAGTTCCCGCCATGTGGAAGCTTGGAATAATAAGCCCGATTCACAAAGGTGGAAACAGAACTGATCCCTCAAACTACCGCCCAATATAACTCTTTCCATACTCTCCAAGGTCATGGAATCCATGGTTGCCGATGCACTGATGTGCTATCTGGAAAACTGTAACATCATCATGCCCGAGCAGCAAGCTTTCCGTGGACAGCGGTCCTGCAAAACGAATTTAATAATAGCACGCAGTAGTTGGACTGAGGCAGCTGACGCTGGAGTAAGCATTGATAAGGTCTACCTCTATTTTCGAAGGCTTTCCATCGTCTAGATCAGCGGATACTCATCTCCAAGCTCCAGCATTACCGAATCGGCGACCCTCTTTTAAGCTGGATTGCCAAATTTCTGCTTTAACTACAATTGTTGGTGAGAGTTCGGGGCTCTTTATGGGACCCCATACAAGTCGAGTGTGGTGTGCCGCAAGGCTCAGTTCTAGGTCCACGTTTGTTTTTGGTGTTTATTATTGACCTTGCACAGGGAATCGCTTCAAACTTCCTAATGGTTGCGGACGATATCAAGATCTGGCGCAGGATCCAGGCGAACAACGACCAGCAGGTGCTTCAGAGGGACTTAGATACAGTGTATCAATGGTCGGCCCAAAACTTACTGCATTTCAACGTCAGTAAATGCAAGGTGCTTTCCATCCGACATCAAAGCAGCTACTCATACCGACTCGGAACGGATGTACTGCAACAATCAACTCTCGAATGTGACTTGGGTGTCCTGGTTCAAGACGACTTGGGTTATTCAGGGCAATCCGAAAAGGCCTCGCAGACTGGAAATCAACACATCGAACTGTTGCGACGGGCATTTCGACAAATAAACAGCTCCATATTTCGACAGATGCTCAGTGCATATGTACGTCCCCATATCGAGTACGTAATTCAGGCCTGGCATCCATGCCTGAAACACGACCTTATTGCACTAGAGCAGTCACTACATCGGGCATCTAAGAAGGTAATTGGAATGCACAGTCTTTCATACCAGTAGAGGCTGCAACGATTGGGGGTGTTCAGCGGAAGCTTTCGCAGACTAAAAGGCGACGTGATTATGGCATACTTGATTCTGCGAGACCCGCATCATGTGTGCCGCACTTTACTGCGACTCAGCACCAATACAAAACTGAAGGGTCACTCATTGAAAGACGCTTAGTGTATAGCCGTCTGGATTGCCGCAGAAATTTCTTTTCCATTCGTGTCTGTCACCCGTAGAATGCTCTCCCAGAATCGGTCATCCCTGCACAGATACTAACAGTATTTAAAAGAGGGTTGAATGATGCACTCATCCACTTACACTTTGTCACTTAGCGCTATGTCTCATCCTACACAATTACCATGGAATTATTTGATATTAACTGCTGGTGTAGTGAATCTAAGCGGATTGCAGGACTACAGCGGGGCAAACGATATGTCATTATTTCATATTTAAAACACTAACTGTTCTATTATTATCATTATTATTATTATTATTATTATTATTATTATTAGTTCGAAATCCCCACCAACTATCCTAAGGCACTTGCAAAGCAACGTATAAATTCCTTGTTCGAATCAGTATTCAATAAGAGCCTAATACTCGGCGAGAGTTTGAACATTTGCAAACAAGCTTATTAATGGTGGGCTGCGTACTGTGAAAGAGGATCCGCCGTTGGAGGAGGCCCCGCGAAGGCAAATAGCAGAATCTACACACAAAATTCGACTACTACAGGATAATGCGAATCATCTACGACGTGCCGCTCTGCGTTGAAAGAGGTAGTGGAATTGATTGAATAATGCGAAACATAAGCTTTTCGGCAAATTCCGAAGTGTGATCATTCGAAATCTATCTTAAAGAAAGCAATTTTAATAAATTTTACTAGATACTATATATCCGCATAACCATCTTTTACTTGTTTCAATTTCACAAAGTTGTGAACACGAGCATATAGATTATTTCGGTCAGTTTTCTGGGTTCACTGCTACAGTTCAGGTTGTGAGATAGCTCAATTAATTTCTACTCTTAACTTTTTGACACGCTTAAGCCTCCTCCCACTTGCTGTGGTACGCCGCGAAGGGGTGTTTAAACTTAGAAGACATTCCGGTAAAGTTTATGGAGTTAGCCCTCTTCCGGAGCAATTTTTACGGCGAAGTTTGATCAAGTGAACAACTGTTCACTGACGCAAAACGCCCCCAGACTTCATTATGAACACGAACACAATTAATTTCTTTATTATTCATTGGGCGATTTCTAAGTACAGTTGACCATGCAGTTGAACGCAAACTCTGCTATCCTACTTTGTAGACTGTTTTAAATGAATTTTGCACTTTTTCTATGCAGAAAAATGCATTTTATCAGCTCTTTTACAACCAACCATATGTCGTGTTGTCAAGCAATACACTATACTCAAATGCCTACAAGTGGTTGTATTGGCGTCGTAGTGAGGTTTGGTAACAGAGTGCTCGCCATTGACTTAGCGTATGAATTGCAATATCCCAATCCATCTCCAAGGGTCCCAATTACCTAGCACCGCCTAGCATATGCTCTTGTCTTTACTCAGACCTAAAGTAAATCTCTGTGTTAACTAGTGTCCAAGAATCTGGTAATTTTATCGACTGAATTGTGGTTGGTCCTTCCCTGCAGTCATATTTATGACTGGCAAGATATGCACCTAGCGGCATTGGAAACAGGCCGTAGAGAAACCATATGGGAACGCAGTCTATACCCACGAGTAGTTCAAAATGGCCAGGCCAAAGTATAACTAAACGTTTCGACAAATGTTGTCCATATCAAGTTTGTGTAGTAAAAGCATAAGTTTGGCGTAACTGCCTAAGGCCCCGGGTTCGAGTCAAGTGCCCGAAATCGAGCGCAAACGAATACGAAACCTGCAGCGGAGTGCGGTGTTGTAGTTGAACTTCCCGCACTTCAAATAATATCAGGGCTCAAATTTACCGCAAAGGATAATGGAATGATAGCGTATTATGGATAAAAAAACCAAGACTTTACTGGTCCGTTAGGGTGGTTTGTTTGAATTACTTATATAAAAAACTGATGTTAGCTTCAGCGTAAATCGCGGTCCGGCAAGGGATTGATGGTTGCAAACCACTCACTCAATGAAAACTGCTTCAAAATGACCTCAACGATCATTATAACCGTGTCATCTAAACTTGAAAAATAGTAAACCGAACTATGTAATAGTCTGAAATAAAAATTACTTTATTAGGAAATGCTAAAAACAAACTCGCAGTCAAGGCACTTAGGCCAAATTTACCAAATTGAAGTAAGGATTAAGATGCGAAAAGTAATCTTCAATAAACGGACTTGTAATTTTTTGAAAACGGAATGGAAATACAATGCGGCTGGAACTTTACTTTGTTCTGTGTTCCCTGTTTCAAAATTGCAGCCGTTTTCAAATCAGCTCCGAGTTTTCCACCGGCCATAGAAAGCTTCTTACTGTCTCTCTTCGATCGACCTTTTTTGGAGCAACATCGCTTAAATATCCACAGCAGAAGTAGAATTCCAAACGCGGTTCCGATGATGCTCAAGCTGACTACAGCTCCATAAGGCACTGTTGATGGAGGAAGGGAAAAAGTTTTATTTTCATATCAGAATTCTGAAGTCATACTACCATTTACAACCTTTACAAATTTTATGAAACAAATTCTTGAACAATTCCAAGCTTTCTCCTCAGATGACGGGTGATGTTTAAAGTTGACAGATATTGGGTGTTGCCCACAAGAAAACACTGCATTACATGACCCGTTTTGACCTTAGCTGATCTTACCAGGTTGATACAACAGACATCAAACCCGAGAACATTGAGATCTTAGCTGAAACCTCTACCTCTTTAGCCAACAAGTCACGACGGTGTGCGCCTGTCAGTTGTTATTGACTGATAAGTGAATCATTCTGAATCACTCAATCATTAACTGCTTTGAAAAGTGTTGCCTGACCTGACATGGGGGCTAAAAGGATGGAGGCTTCAGTTAACATCTAAATGTACTCAGGTTTGGTCCCTGTTGTGTACACCTGATGAGATCAAAGGACATGGAAACGCGTTGTGGTTTTCAGTTGTAGGACGGACAACAGCCAATTTCCATCTGCTTCGGCTACGGTCCCAGATGTGGTATTGAATGTCACTTAAGGTGAATCGCGGTCTACTTTGAGGTTGCGCGTCACAATCCATTCACACAACGAGTATTTCAAAATGACCCTCCAGTCAGTCATTAACCTTTGTGCCAAGCGTTGCACTTCGCGACCCGGAGGCCGAAAGTTTCGACTACTACTCCAATGGTCGCGCGTTGGAGGTCTGCTAGCTCCAGTTGATTATATCAAATGAGATCCAATAGCATTCGATATAGAACAATGATGCAGTGTTTTGTTATGTACTAAGTAACAGTATTTTATAGTTAATATATTCTTGGGTAGTATTCTATGAGGGCGCTTGTGGTTGACTGAAGGTCGACAAGTTTGAGCACATTTGAATAGAAGCAAAGTCTTTTACATGTGGTATGCATATCGACAGACTCATGCTGGTCCTTAATTGCAATGGTGCTTCATTTCACATTTGCACGTACTTCACCAAGAATAAATTTAAGCGAATATTTTGTTTGGTCTTCTGTAAGAATGATAGACACTTCCCGTTACAAGTGGGTTAGGTTCAGTCATTTTGTAAAGCGGCGGCCGCACAGGTTGCGTTGTCTCAAGGGTATACTATACTGTAAAGAGGAGTAAGATTGCATTTTAGCCGTCAAAGCCAGAGTGGGTTCTAGCTGTAGGGAAGAGCATCGTTCCCCATAGTTAAGCATTGATGAGTGTCCCATCGGCATACTAGTAAAGTAGCAATTCTATCTGTTTTAAGTAAGAAGCCATTTATGATTGTACGGTACTGTAGTATGGATCGCGCTATTAGACTGAACAATACACAACATAATCCCGTAAGATAGTTTGTTAGTTATTTCATCGGTACCACATGATGTAGAATACGTTCGGCGAAGTTGAAACTGCTAGCGTGTAAAAGTCCCAAGCATTGAAGTGAATACGCGGTTGGTATGGTTTACTGCATCTTCGGCTGATCATCGGAGGTTCGTTTCTTGAAAACATCAGATACCAGATTTCACTTCATTTGTTTAGTGATGATAGATCTTCGCTTGTATTTTATGCATAGCTCTAGATGTTTACGAAGAAATGATTGCACTATTTTTATGTCGTCCGCAAATAAGAATGGGCGCTCCTGTCTACTATATTCATACATACTGTTTATGTAAACCAAGAAATGCAATGAACCCAACACACTTCCCTGACATTTCTGGGAGCACATCAGTGTTGACCTATCTGTATTATTTGTGTTCGGTCCTTCAGGTATTAATCGAACCAGCTAAAATATTTGATTTCTGATCGAATCGACGGTATGACGGCCACCAGTAAATTGTGCGGTACGCAATAATGTGTTTGGTGTATAGTTAGAGTGATGCTGATGAGGACGATGATGATGATGGTGATGATAATGATGATGGTGATGATAATGGGCATGCCACCACAAACGTTTCTTTGACTTGGTCAAGAAATTGCAACTGGCATGTGACACAGGAGCGTTCTGTGTTGAACCAGTCTCGGGAACTGCTGAGTAGGACTTGTCTTTTCAGGAACTGAGTTAACTGGTTCTTAACTATTCTTTGTAAGGCCTTAGCGGCAGTGCAAGGATGGTTTGTCGGTCGGTAGTTTAACGTTCGATCACATGAACCGCCTTTGTGTTTCTGTATAATCATGGCTTTTTTCACTGACGCAGGAAGCAGCCGGTCTTCAAGGATAGTGTAAAGATTTGCAACATGAAGGGAGGCACCTTTTCGCCACCCAAGATGGTAGATCCATGGTGAATATAATCAGATCCCGGTTGAAATGTTAGTTTGATAGATGTAGTAGTCATCGGTATGTCCTTAAAACGCAAAGGTTAATACAGAGTGCCGCTTCTGTTTTCCTTGGAAGGAGAGGAGAGGATATTTATGATGCAACACTTAATGAGGCAGAGAAGTAGGAATTCCTTTAATCGCATATTCGGACTATATCATCCGTTCTCGTGCTCTACTTCAAAAGTAGGCCTTAAACTAGTTGGTGTTATTTCATACTTCTTCTTCTGAGTACTTACATCAAGGCACGAGCTTGCTCTGAGCTCAGGGTGGTTCGGTTTCCTTCGGCAATTCTAGACTGTTGTGTTTGGTGTTCAAGCTTCAGCAAGCTTTTATGTGTTTGAATTAATGTAGCATATAGTCGTTTTAGCGGTGCAGTAATTTCAGCTTTTATAGCTTGGTAGGGGTTTTGGAAGAATGCTTGTATCGAGTGGTCTTAGGAAATAGAGCTTAACAACACAAGCCATGGAGATATACGTGAACGCCCAAACTGCATGATGAATATTTCTGATTTCTTATTTTTGATCCTGAAAGCATAACAGCTGTAGTTGCGGAATATTGACACAAGTCACCAAGCATAAAGATACATTAAACCAAATAACAGAGCAATACAGTACTGTTGCACATGGTTGCTCGAAGGAATTCGACAGAGATGAATCATCTCTATTCTACAGTTTTAGGTCGAGCAATGTTTATTAGCAGTAAGCACACTTTGGATTATACATAGTATCTAGCGTTCAACTGGAGCTTAAGCCTCCATTTTTGCGTTAACTGGAAATATTGTAAGAGTAGGTATCCTAATTATTAACTAAATAATTTGCCTATTATCTCACTTGCGTCAGTGCGCATGTTAGGCGAAAGACAACTTTAGCGAGAAGGCAATATCGTACGAGTTCTAGGAAATAGATGTTCACCAGCAAAATGGTGTGTTCATCTGCAGTGTTGTAATTAATTTAGCCAAACAAAGAATTAGAAAATCATTAATAATGCAAAATGGTTGCTTGTTTTACCACTACTTCTGGGTACCACTAGGAAATTAAACAGACGTACAGGCGCGAGGACTATCGTGGGATGCAGTCTTGTGGGCGCATGATACCAAAGATTCACGGTTTTGTTTCCACATGCTCGATTAGGAGCCGTTTTATTTAATTCATGGATGTTGACAGTCCATCTCATCTACTAAGCTGCAAACATTTCTGCTCTATTTCTCTCAAGTCAATCGACAAACGATTTATGACGGGATATCGTTATCTACCCAAACGCCTACGTCTGTAAACGAAATTAATGTCGGAAACAGATGGCATGGTGACTTATTTCACAGTCCTAGATAAGGGTCACAGACTGCTCTCCTCCAATGTCTAGATCGATGCTTACGCTGCACTGATCAGAGACACCAATTGCTGATAATATGACGTCTTGCCCTAAGTTAAAATAGCCAAAATGTTCAAGTTTTCTTTTGTTCCATTTGCTGGGACGATGTTGTTGCTCTACTCGCAGATTTTTTGCTAACCCATCAAAGTGGAATCTACGACAAAACTTCGAAAAGTTTGTATTGTTTTGGCGTTTTGATATGAGGCAAATTTGAACCAAGAAACCGTGGTTGTCTCCAGAATTTGGCAGGTGATTGGAGAGAGTTAACCTAATTACATGGTTACATTCCAGAAAGCTTATGCTCATCTGTCACTGAATGGTATTGCATCTGCACGTCTTCGATTTGCCTGAAAATTATGAGCGAGTTCTTTGCAATGGTGCATTTTCCGCAGGAAAGTATGCCACATTACAGAATATACAGCAATCTAAGAACTGGTAAGTATTCGATATAAATACCCTTTCTCTTGATCCCGCTACTTGAGAACCAATCTCATTTTGCTACCAAGCTGGTTTTGACAATAATAGTGCAATATTGGGTTCCGCTGGGATCATTTATAGTATGCTTTGCGTTAGTCACTCGTCTCACTATATAACTTAGTTTAAATAAACATATCGAACTTATAATTTATGTCACGCTACCGCAGTTTGTCGACGTCATTGATACTAATGACCTCCATTATTTAAGCATGCCACCAGTTGATTTCGACATAGAAGCTGGAATGTTTACTGATGTTCGTAGTACGCAACGAAATTATAGCTTGTCAGTAGTAACTCTTTGTTAGTCTAGTATTGTAGCCAAGATGTCTCTATCGGGCTCTGTGGTAATGGACAACGTGCTTCTCCGAGTCATGTAGCTCAATGCCCTGCAGCCGTAAGGAGGTTGAAAAAGGTAGGTTATTGAACTAAAACACCCAGATTAACGTTGATGCACAGCGCAACTTCCACACAACTGCAGCAGCAGCGGATGCTGCATCAATATCTGGTTGCTCACATGAGAGAAATAGGTCAGTTATATTTCAATAGACGCAGTGAATATTGGCACAGTGTATCCACTAGCCAGCCCTACTCGAACGTATGACTGTGCAATTACAGTTAATGAAGAGTTCGGATGATGTTGAAAGCGATGTTTTCTCAATTCTTCACTCTGCGGAATAAAGAGGTCTCAATCAATGAATTCCTAGAGTCATTTTAGTTTGTGTTTGGATCGTGGGGATGCCTAGCTTTAGTAATCCGAAAACTCATTTATCAGCATGAATCAAAGCGGGAGGCAAATGTCGAGTAGTGAATTCTTCACGGTAACATTCATCGAGAGCATAAGTTTATGTAATAGGTGTTCCCTGTTAAATGTGTCGAGCTAGGCTGAATATTAATTCAACAACCGAAACGATAAATCATGCTGTCACTAAAAGGAGTAGATTAGGTACAAGGGGAAGGGATGCAATATTCGCACACCGCATACCGTTACCGAGGAACTGCAGAAGATTAAAGCGCTCTAAGAGAAAATGGGTGTCCGGATAAATTCATCCTCAAACTCCTGAAGGAACGTATGGGACGACCAGCTAAATCAAGTGTACGCAAGAAAGAACGTTTCCTGCGCTCACCATTCACAGGCTACAGGTGATGCGCTGTCTAAATACGCAGAAGACGCTGCTGACATGACCTATTTCGAGGCTTGCAAGCGCATAGCGTACTACATTAGGCTTTTACACGTAAATCCTTTGAAGGATAGGCTGGCTACGATATCGTGCTCAATGCGTGTTTCTCAGTAATCGTGGTCTATGATGCATGATGGGCGGGTCATGTTACAAGGCACCTATTTCATAGGATAAACCATCACCCTCCCAAGTGGTTTTACATAGATAAGGCGTGGTCTTCGAATAGCTCCATCATGTCGCATCTACTCGAATACGGTCAAGATGGCTCTGTAAACGATCTCAGAATTATTTACATTATTTCTGAGCAATTCTCTTGCGGATTCCTGAAACATCATCCATCTACTGCTAGAGCTATCCATATCCGCTACCTCTAGGCAGGTCTGTGCTTAAGAAAAAATTTGTAAGGACCCTACGAGTCGAGTGTGGTGTGCCTCAGGGCTTAGTCCTAGGGTCACGATTGTTTTGGTATTAACTGTATGCCGAGCAGACTTTGCCGCACTGTGACCTAGATACGGTACGTCATTGGTCAAGCCAAAGCCTGCACAGTTAAAGGTGGGAGATGCACGGTAATCTCCATACCACATCGGAGTACCTATTCTTGCAATCTAGGAATGCAAGTACTGTAGCGATCATCCGTCGAATACGACCTAAGCGTGCTTGTTCATAATAACTTGGGCTGTTCACGGCAATCCGAAAGGACATGGAAAAGTAGTAATCAACAAGTCGGCCTGTTACGACGGGCGTTTGGACAAATGGAAACCTGTTTTCCACACTAATGCGCAGTATGTATGCTCGGTCCCATGTCAGATACGCCATTCAAGTTTGGCAGCCATGACTGATGCATACCCTCATCGCACTGTAACAACTTCAAGATCGGGCTTCCAAGCACGTCAGTGGAATGCTCAGCCTACCATTTGAAGAAAGGCTGAAAAGTATTCGGCGGTCGGTATCGCAAATCACATGGCGACCTAATGATGGTATAGTTGAGTTTACACAAGCCAAATCATGTGTGCCGCTTTGTACTGCAACAGCAGCAACAGAAGCTTCAGTAGTCCCTACTAGAGACCAGCAGAACACTACTGCGTCTGCAGTGCCGCGGAAATTTATTATTTTGCATGTGTCAACCATGGAACGCTCTCTGCGAATCTGCCGTTTACGCACCTACACTAGCCGTATTTAAAAGTCGGTTGCATGAAGCGCTCCGGCACATCCATTTTGTTACTTAACACTAATGTCAATCCTATTCCCGGGAAATATCTTGGGTATGAAATTTCGCATATTGGATCTATGAAAGTGCTCTGAGTGCAGGGCTACTACATTAAAAAGGTAAGTCCATTCTTTTGATAGTAAATTTGACAACTGAATTTATTTTAATAAATATTTTCGATAGCCCCCAGACCACCCAACGTGGCATGTAAAGCAGTGCTTCTTAACCCGTATAAATTCATTGTTCATCTGTCGTTAAGGTGCCAGTTGATTTGTCCCCGTTAACTACTGATTAATTGTGGTACTGTATCACTGTAGTTAATCCACTGCATTTAGGGACAGCATGAGTAATTGATCCGGCCGCTGAATTACACACACACACACACACTTACCAATCAATATTCACTGCACATCGGCACGCGTAGCATGTAATCCCTAATATCTAATCGTGTGTGGCTGTTTGGTTTTAGTTTCATCTATATCTCTGAGATCTTTTTAAAAGTTGATTGCATTTGATTAGAATTAATTTCTTTAACAAACGGCAAAGTTGTCAAGTAAATCAAGCAAACGACTGTTCACAAAGCTCTGAAACGACACCTTGACTTTACTATGCGTTATCTTTTCAAGAAATCAAGCACCGTGATTCAGACACCATGCCTGGGTTGTTCTATCATTCACCCTTCTAATTTGCATGTGCCTCATCACGAAACGGGATGTCATAGCTAACGCGGTTCTGGACCAAATCACCAATGCTTGCTATTTGTATGTGTAGATTGCTAAGAAAGACGCATCCACTGTGATGCAACATGCGTGGCGCGAACGGCTCAACAATCGCAACACGATAATAGGTCAAGTTTGGCCAATCTGTCTGGGTTTACTGATCCTTGAAGGATTGTTAGCATAATGTCACCGATATTTTTAACATCAGACATTCGTCGACTGATGGTCAGTAAACGGCCAGATTAAATGTATGCCACAACCAGGCGCTGATTCGATGTAGGTTTCCTTTACGGATGAACTAATGGCCAGTAGCCCTCCAAAAAATGTTGTGTATCGAACAAAACACTCAACTCTGGTAATTAGGAGTCACATAGTTGCGAGTAGAGACATTGCCCTAAAATATACCGTACTTCAGCACTGCGTGAATACAGTCTGTTAAGGTAGTTACTCGGCAACGTTTCGTTTAGACACAAGGTCTTCTTCAGACCAAGTGGAAGAAGAACTGTTGTTCGTTGAAGATAAAACTGACTAAATTCGAGCTTTTCTGAAATCACGACAATTCATTCTGTTACGACGATATTCCTAGATCGCCTCAAAAAATAATCATGCGACAGTCAAGGTATATTAAGTAATCAGTATCTCGGTTAGTTGTTTTATCCAATAATATGCTGACGCAGTTATCTGTGGTATCTAGCCAAATTTTCCTTGCGTTAGCCTATAAATGTAGCGGTAATATTTGCCACTTCATCGGTTTCCCCCTGCAAAGGCTACACTCCATCAGTGGGTTCATTCTTCTTCTAAACAGTTACCTGGATCTATTGGATCAATTGGAGAGATAACCTGTTGACACACGTACACGTAGACAGTCGGGATCCAAGGACGATTCCTGTCACTACGGATGTAAGATTTCATTGTTCTTGCCGTCTGAAACAGCCGTCTTGTAGATGGATTGCACCGCGCAGTCCCAGAGGAAACTGTGATTTACTTTGAAATAATTCCTAGCTAAATCATTATTTAGGAAGCTATGTAAACTACCTCACACGTATGTGGGTCACGCAAGGTAGTCGTGACAGAAATAACCTAGGCTTAATTCCATGTATCTGATTATTCAATCTGGGTACGTATCGCAGTATATCCTAGTAACAGTATCCTCAAAAATGCTCGGTACTTTTTTCGCTACTCTTCTCAGATACGAACACTGGAGCACGCCACTTTCCTAGCAGCAAGGGAACAATCGCCTCCCAATCTGTCCGTTTTACACACTGGAAGAAAAGTTCATTTTACATTTATCGACTGGCCACTGAAAATTAACAAATTCACGCTCATAGGCATGGTTGCTACGAGGACGATAGGGTGATAACTAGTGAGTTGGGAAACTCGAATTATATATATATATATATATATATATATATATATATATATATATATATATACTTAGCATTTACTGTCGTGATCGACTTACCTTTGCCAAATGTTTGTTGTTGTGTTGTCTTCAATCGAAGCATGTCTCTTCTAAGGGTCTCCTGCCCGCTTTTTGTTAAAGTGGCGTCAAGTGGTCGAAACAGTTGTTTGGAAGTCACACTCGTCTTGACGTCTGCCATGGAGTAAGTCATTCTACTTTTTGGTCCATTTGTACTCGTTTCCAGTACTGTTGTTGGGACTGTGGTCTTCGTATGGAGCAAGGTTAAGGGGAGGGGAGGAGTAGTCGTTGATAACTGCACCTGCGCGGTCACCTCATCCTCACCTGTAGAGGTGTCGTTCTGCTCGCTTGCGATATTTGATTCTGTACTGAGTACCGCTTCCAGCGTTGATGACACAGTTTCATGGGAATAGGCGGGATCATATAACTTCATTATCAGATGAACCTGCGTTCTACCACAAAAGGAAAATTAGCTTTTACTTATTGGATTACCTGCTACGTGATCTGAGTGAGGAAGATAGGTGAACAAATGTGTGTAATGAGAACTTACAAACCCAAAATGGTGCTTCGATTGTACAGAAAATTTATGAGGGTTGCGTAACCATTCGAAGCGCATGGCAATTACTTTGTCCCATTAGATTACAAATTGTTGGAAGTGAACGTTCAAACACGCACTGGACCCACTGCGAAAATTCCACTTTAGACAAGAAGTACCGGTTACCTCATATATACTGAGAGAATTCTGCTTACTTGCAGAAATCACACCATCTACCGAACTGATAGCCGCAAACCAAAAGACATCCCACTTTAACTGCGACACTAAATTGGGTAGTTATGTGCTCATAATTTTCGAAAGCGCAAAATCCACAGCGGAATATGTAATAGAAGGGAAGGACAGTAATTGAAAACCGTGTAACTAAAGACAAATTTCAAATAAATTTAAAGCGTATGTTAAATAATTATTGTGTAGCATTTTTATACAGTCTACTTGCATTTTTAGGGGCTCTACTAGGGTCGCAGTGTCATTATTAAATATTACAAGGTTGGACATGTTGTACTTATATATATATATATAAACAACCATACGAAGCGTTTAACCTGTTGGCTGGGCTCTCCGAAAATCACACCATGGCTTGGTGCATCCAATTCGGAAGTCTAGTTTATACGAATATTATACAGCTGGAATTAGCAACTTCTGTTAAAGCACACTTCACTATATAGCGTTTCACTTGTTCGCTATTTAAATCGATGAGTACCTGGTCCTTAAGAGATTCACCAGAACAAAATATAACTGAAGCATTGTTTACCAAGCAACTGTCAGTGTAATGTAGCAATTTAATGTTAGTACCATTGTCACCAACTTGCTTCCATCCACTATTTAAAATTTGCAATGGCTCTTGCAGTGCAAAATAATCGGTTGATCGGACTTATTTTTCCCTGTAAACGACCATTTTAATCCACTGGTATAAACAAAACGCAGTAAAACTGCATGTGTAATTACGTCATGCGCACTATCCCCGTTCCCATTTTGGTTGACTCGATGCCACTCATTAAGATACTAATCGACAATTTTGCCGGTGTCATGCTCAGCTGGTCACTTGGTGAAATAGCAGTTAAAGTTTGCTTAACAATTTTCGTTTATTAGTATGATTTAATCAGGAAAGACCAGAGCTAATCTCCATGCCCGCCCTGGCACGACGCAAAATCTTCTTCTATGGTCAGACAGAGTACAAAAGCTGGGTTTAAGCCAGTGCGAACACAAAACTAATCAGCGAGCTTATTCAGGACACTTTTCCCTCTCTCTCTGTACTTGCGGACAAATGTTCACCAAGGCAAAGATAGCAGCAACAGTTTTTCATCTGGAATCCAACAAGCAGTTTGAATTTGCAAGTGGTGTCCGTTCCATGTGGTACAATAAGTACTGGCTGATCCGCAGAAAGCGATGAAAAGTGGTTTCTTTAATCAAATTTCACCATAAATTTGCCCCACGGAGCTTCTCAATCGCGCTATTGGAAGCGCAATTGAAAAAAAGCCAAATAGTCGCCGTCACACGTTTAACACTTGGTTGTGGTCACACGGTGCAACCGGTTCCACAAGTGGCCTAATGAAGCTAGTTAATCCGGTAAAGTTTCTTGGAAAAAGTCTTCCGTCGGCTGCCTTTTGGGAAGCAAATTTAACCGTTCTCATGAAAAAGCGAGGTACGGGTTCGTTAAATCAAATAACCTCTGGGTTCTTTGGATGTGAGAATAACTGACACCTACTCTCATGACAAGCATTGCTTAAAGTGCAGGAGAAGGTCGCTGAGGGAGGGTGTTATGCCCATCATATAGGTGGTATTAATACTTAGCTGAGGTTTTTAAATAGGCATATAAGTGAGTAACTCCACGAAGTAAGTTCATGCACGGTAAAAGGAATACACTGACGTAATTCCCAGTTTCTGGCATCCCCTAAAATCTGCATTGTGTGAGAACTGCCAATCGCTTCCAGATTCGCGCTACATCTACAATAAAACTCACCAACTAACAGTTCTGCTTCCTCGCGTACTGGTGTCTGACAAGGACAAAATTCGTTTCAGCTATACCTCACATTATGGTAACACAGGTAGTGTTGGTTTAAAACAACCGATCAGTTCCTAGCGTCCATTTTTATGTGGCCACTTTCTTTCGTAGTAGCAATGAATGGCATTAACTCTGCTTCTAATATAAAATATGCTTCTTCAAAAGGCAGCAGACTTATGTGCGCTGTTTGAGTAGCGCTAGTAACTAGGTTATTATTACGTAACAATCATACACGTTATGTGTAATGCCGTAAGATGGCTACTGACCTATAGAGGACAATCATGGCTTTGGGTGTCAATTATGTTCTGTGCAAGGTAGTAGTGTGCAGGTTAACACTGGATAAACTGCTCCCACATCACAACCAGTGGTGGGCTTCTATGGGGACTTTTACTGTTTTCCGTGGTCTAATGGGTTTAATTGTTGATGTGTAAAACCTATAGGTTCGAATCCCCCTGAGTTCCATGGGATGTGTGATGTAGGTGAACCCCAATAAGATGGATAATTTATTAATGCTTTTCCAAAGGAGCGGCTAGTTGCTGACTTAGTCTGTTAGAGAAGAACACCCTGGAAATTTGCTTCTGGCTAATAATATAATAACCACGGCTTTCTGTTTAACGTCCTTCACTGATTTTATATGATTTCCATAACGTATCAGAGTGCGTCGGGCTGAGTCATCAATAACTTATACGTGTGTTGTTTTAACTGTAACTGTTCATTACCCTCGACAATAACCTTTTGTAAATGCATACTCGTCAACAACTTAGGCTGGACCTTACCGTGGTGCGATGGTTTGTGTGCATCAGCGATCCATCGAGCTATGCTGGGTGGTGCTGTTGCACCTTCAGAGTCACTCATACCAGATTGGTCAATGGTTAGAGGCCAGACAAACTCAGCCTCCTGGTCCTCCAGGTTGGGGGTTGGAATGAGGGTGGCACCTTATTCCTTAAAACGAACTCCTTGTAACCCAACGCCAAACCCGCTGCCTTGTGGTCAGGTTTTTGTACAAAAGGCTTTGGATGAGAACCCTAATCGTTCTCCTGTGTAGGCCCGAACAACCGGACAGTATACTGCCCACGCAATACAATAAATCTTTCCTCAAACAATTTCTTGATGATCTGGCCACAGCAGAGGATAATCAACGGTGCCCTATCTGCTGCATCGGGCAGGGTGGATAGGGGTTTGGATGCAAGTCCTCAAGCCTTCCCGTCTTCTTATTCCCCCTCCTACGCATTTTCACCCTCACCGTCCCGTTCCAACTTCCCTTTTATCCCCCCAGTTTTCAACCCCCCGATTCTTGGCTCTCCCCAAACATGCTTTGTTAGGCATTTATATTCTAATTTCAACTCACATGCTAACTCATTGCGTCACTCCTCTCCTGTCGACAAGCCCATGTCCAATCAAGCAGTCCATTCCAGTTCATCGGCTTCCATTTGGAGCCCTCGATCCTCCTTCAGATTGGTAGGCCTCAAGGTACGCACATTACTACAGATCGGTCAACAGGCAGCACTTGCCCGAACATTGGTGACCCTCTCGATCGACATCTGCTGCTTATCGGAGACCCGCCTGCAATACTCGAGCTCTGTGCTCACTCTGCGATCCCCTTCAGGTGACGCAAGCAGTGCTTTCTCATTGCGCATATCCGGTGACGATACAGCTTCGAGCACCGGCCAAGCTGGTGTTGGCATTGCCCTGAGTCCCCGGGCTGAAGCTGCTCTGGGTGATTGGATTCCAATCAGTAACCGGATGTGTGCGGTCCGATTGGCTGGCTCGTTCAAACTTCTAAGTCTCGCGGGACTAATAGGTGTCTATTCATCATCGCTGCCTACGCACTTACAAACTCTAGCGATGATTCGGTTAAAAACGACTAATATCATCAACTGAACGAGCTCCTTAGCTATAGAAGAAGCACGGACACTGTTGTGCTGGTTGGGGATTTGAAAGCGCAAGTTGGAAATTATCCACTGAGGAGATGCATTCGGGCGGCCAACATGGTATAGGCTCCCGTAATGATAACGGTGAGCGGTTACTTCATTTGTGTGAAGATGCTGGCTTATTTCTTGCGAGCACTAACTTCCGACACAGCACCCGCGCGAGGGTGACTTGGCGCCCAACAGCCTCGAACCAGCCTTGGACGCAGATCGATCATATAGCAATAAGTTACCGCTGGAGAGGCTGCATCCAGAATTGTCGCTCGATTTGGAGCACAGGTGTGGACACCGATCATGCACTTGTATGTGCTGACATGCGGATGCGCTTTGGCGGACGCCCAAGGCGATGTTGTGAGCGCATTGACACCGGCCAACTGACAAAGCCAGCTGTTCTGAATGCGTATCGAAGCACGCTGACATGCGAGTTGAGTAAGCGCTCACTGGAGACAATTGATGGTCACTGGTCACATGTTCGCCAGACCTTACTAGCAGCAGGCAAATCCTCATGTGGTATGTCTAATAGCCAACATGGACATTGGGTCTCTTCGTGGTCTCTGGAACTTATCGATGCTCGCCGGCATATCCCGGCTGGAAGCGAACACAATGAAACTCGCAAAGAGCTCCGGGCAAGACTTCGTGCTAGCCTGAAGAGAGACCGCGAATCTTGGTGGTCTCATCGTGCGTCAGAGATGGAAGTGGCCGCTGCC